ATCACATGATATTTTTGTTTGAGTCATCATGGACATAATCTACTGTATTTTTAATCATAATTCATGGTTGAAAATAATTTGCTGCAACACCATTTGTCGTCAGTTGGTACAAATTGGGAAAGCAAAAACAAGTGATGGCAAGCGTTGTGTGGTGAACATCATAATAATGTTGCAGGAGCCTACCTGTTTCTGATGTGATCTGACAGGAAATGTTTAGACCACAAAAGAAAGTAGCGACTAACACACCACTTGGGGGCGCTATAGCCTCAATTTACATGCTTTTGTACGAGATATTACTCTACTGTAAATACTTTTGGTTAGAATTAATTTTTGCTATTTTTCACTGAAAGAATGTTTTATTGGAAATAAAATCCAGTGAATATACCTTTGTTCCTATATTTTACTTTGAACTCATCAAAAATCATTGAAAATAAGTTCCATAGAAAACATCCAAAATAGTCATTTCAGTGAAATTGATTCGAGCTAAAATACAGTATTTGACAATACCTCATGCGGGGTAGCTGTTGTGATAGTGTGAAACGCACTTTTAAACGTCACAGTCGTCACAGCGTAATCATTCAAATTTCGAACACTGTATTTTACATTTTCTAGACCCACATTGGTCATGACATTGTTTTTTATTTAATTACTGTAGAATACTATATTTTCGCTTGGAATTCATTTTCGCTGAAAGGATGATTCCGTGAAAATAAAATCCAGCGAATATACTTTTTTCCCTATATTTCACAGTCAACTCATCAAAAAACAGTGAAATCAAATTCCATACAAAACGCCCAAAAGCCTTTTCAGCAAAAATTAGTTCCAGCGAAAATAAAGTATTCCACAGTATACTAATATATGTGATATAATATTAATTTGAAATAACGTACCTTATACTTTGCTAATGCCTCTTCCAATCTACGACCATATTCTGGATCACATTGGCTAAAATTATGAACCTGAAAAACCACAAAATATATAAAAATATTACATATAATAACTTGGTGTTTTTATCTATATCTGACATATGCTGAAACCTTATTTGATAAACAACCAATCAGGAATCTTGTTATTGATGCACATGATAATGTAATTTTCTTTAGTAAGGACATGTATGATTTGTTGACAGAACTCCCATAATGGTTGTTTAATGAGATGCAAAAGGAGTTTAATTTCATCTCCATGGCAACAGTAGTGTGATGATCAATAAAACACAATCATGATCGTAACATATGAAATGATGAACATTGGTCACTAACAGTTACATGTCCAACTAAAATTACCAGAGATGGCTTTATTATCGCTGAAGCAACAAACAAACAAACAAAAACTAGCAAAAATAGATGCTTTAGTATCAATTGAATGTAGTTTATAGTAAATCAGACCAAATTGTGTTTTTCAAAAGTTAATTCCCGCTACAGTAAAGTATTTAATTCTATATCTGTTTCTGTCTTCATACAAAAAAAAAGCCAAAAACTGGTGACTGTTAGCCTAGAGGATTTCGCATCGGACTCATGGCCGGTAGATCTAAGTCCAAATCTTACCTTAGTCTGAACATCAAAAAGGTCGACCCCTACCCTGGGTGAGTGTGCCACAGACTCAATGGGAAGGCCACTGGCCGAGATTCATTCACTAACGAATGCGACTTTGGGGGAATCTTGGTTAGGATCCGCACGTGCTTGTGTTCGACCGAACCTGGTTGACGCCAGGATAGCACATTAAAATGCCATTTGATAAATAGATGGCCGCACAGCCCTGCCATGTAGTCCCAAACATGAATATGACTTCTGTGGCAAAAATGCATGATGCGTCAGCACTTGCAATTTGCACATACGAAAAAAGTCAGGAGAGACAACAGTGACAAAAAACTTTTTTGATTTAAATCTTCTCCTCAATAATAATTCCCTGTCAATCACTGTTCGACTCTATTCTCAGTGTGAAATGACATTTTGCTTAATTTGTTTATCAGCTGATTTTGAAGACTTCGTTAAAAGTTTTACATGAAACCAGCCGTTTGGTAGAGTTTTATATTTTACTATTTTATGTTTAACTTGACTGATAAGAGCACGTCTATTACATAGCATAGGACCAATAGACCATTTTCCATACACTGCGAGAATCACGCATTATGCATGAAATCGAACGTAAAAACAGGACAAACAAAGGTCATAGCGTCGTAGTCGCGTCAAACATCGCGTGGGATTTGACAAACGCGAAAGTATTTTGGGGACATTTCCATGCTTAAAGTAATGTGCTATCCACATTTGATGATAGGCAATTTCGATTAAGTAAGGGTATTCGGAAGCAATATTCCTCTGTCGAAGATCGGCCGGTCGGTGTGAGCTACGAAATAAGGAAATTCGAGTTCAAAATCAAATCGTTCAATTTTTGCAGCAGACGTTCGAAGCGCGTCTTTCATGCATCTCGCGAGATCTCGCAGTTGTACGGAAAATTACATTTAGACAGATTTTGATTTTCTTACATTCCCATAAAAATTTTCTACACTTTTCATTTTCACTAAAAATAAAATTTATTCTGAAGTATTAATGACTCACAGCTCGTTTCTGCAGAAACTCCTGGGCATCCTTCAAGTGTCCAGCAATGTTGTTAATTAGATGCGTTCTATCGTATTCACTCAAAACATTACGCCAGAAGGAACCGACTTGCGTAAAGTTATCGTCATCAGCAGTATTGTAACGTTTGACGTCACCACTGACGTGATCCACATGGGAAGCATATTTTAGATTATCTTGGGGTCCCTGGAAACTGTTGGGGAAGTAGTTGGGGGCACCATCTGGAAAACAAAAGAAATTACACACTTAAAGCATAGAGGGCAGTAATCATTACTTATCGCAATGGCTAAAAAAGAAAATTCAGTTGCTCTTGACAAGTAACACACTCAGCCATTGATTTACAAAATCAACAGAAATGTTACCCTTCTGAGCATTATTTTTTAAAATATACTTTCAGTCATTATCGTCATCACTACATCTGAGTAATTGTTGTTATTCGGTCTGAAATCCTCATCACAGCGATAAAAACAGTGATGTCACACTATTAGGTGTTCCTGCCTTATCTCCCCGTGATAAGGGTTCGTATATAGGTCTAATCAGATGTTCATTACTTGGGGTTTGCAAGTAGCCTGAAATGATACCAAGATCCCGTTTCAATATCGCTCTCGCATAAGCGTTCCAACTCAGAACAATGCAAATGCGCATGCCCGAGGTAACTAGGATACTGGGAGGTTCAGGTGGATCAAAATAGCTGTTCACGATATGACGGATTACGAGAACTATATTTTCTGTACATTACATTTTTTCACTATGATAGTGGTGAGACATGTATATTACACATGTTGAACATTGAGATACATTGTATGTCATGTCAGAAGGTCGTAGCACCAGTCTCGCTATCTACAAGATGAGACTTGAATGGGATCTTGGCATGATGTCACCATACAGTACAATGCGCGTTGCAAACCCCAAGTAATGTACCTTTGATCTAATATTAAGTTTTGGTCTATCTTTAGGCTTACTTTGATTATCAGTGACACACTGGGGACCATCCCGCTGGTAGTTGTAAGTTCTTGCATTGAATGGACAATTTACTGGTATTTGGAAATAGTTTGTCCCAAGACGATGACGGTGGGTGTCAGAGTACGAAAATATACGTCCCTGAAATAGAATAAATATGGTGATTACACATGTTTGATGGCATTCACATGTTTCACATGGTATTAACACACACCATGTGGTGTTCACAGATACCATGTGGTGTTCACAGATACCATGTGGTGTTCACAGATACCATGTGGTGTTCACAGATGTCATGTGGTGTTCACAGATACCACGTGGTGTTCACACACCTCACGTGATGGTGTTCATACATACCATAAAGTATACACACATTGTTTTTATATATCACGTGGTGTTTACACATCATATGGCATTCACACACATGTCATGTGTTCACAAATACCATATGATATATTTAATATTTAATTCACACAAGTGTAATCACGTGTAATTACTGTACAATACTTTATTTTAGCTGCATTTAATTTTTCGCTGAATAGACTTTTTCGGTGTTTTGTATGGAATTTATTTTCACTGATTTTTGACAAGTTGAATGTAAAATATAGGAAAAAGGTATATTCGCTGGATTTTATTTTCAATGAATCATTCCTTCAGCGAAAGTAGCAAATACTAATTCCAAGCGAAAATTCCAATTCCAAGTATTCCACAGTAAATAAACTACAACACTACTAAACAAACCAACTTGAATGTCAGCATTTTGGAGGATTAGCACAAATCTAATTAGTCATATGTTTATTTTATTTATTTTAATTTTTCTTATATTTATTTTTTTGGAAAACAAACAGGAGCAAGTCCCACTTATAGGCATCATCATCAAATTTGCTGAGTGGGCAAATACATTCATTATTAACAGGAACATTAAAATAAGTTTTCATCAATGTATCTTTGTAATTTATACAAGGTAATGCACTATTATAACGTACCTGTAACATTTTATCCGGAGACGCTTCAATACCAGGAACCAAGTGACCCGGACAGAAGGCGATCTGTTCTACCTCAGCAAAATAGTTCTTGGGGTTTCTATTCAGCACCAATTTACCGACAGGAATCAGTGGAAATTCACTGTGTGGCCAGATCTATACAAATACAAACATGTGTTATGTCTAATACGAGTTAGGCATATCCTGCAAAGGTCAGATTTCCTGGTACTTTTGGCAGGAGTAAGAAATATCATACCTCCATTTTGCCATATTAAAATGGTTGATAATGAAGGTACCAGGATGTTTGACCTATAACCCCAGGGTCATAAAAACACATTGTATTGGAAGCACACACAAAAAACTGCAAAACAGATGGATGGCATAAATCACAATGTAGGAACATGTGACTTGTGTTGTCATTTTTCATTGGTTCAGGGCTTGGAAAATGACTACACTAATATAATAAATCCTATATCAATTTGCCAATCATTAGAGATTAGCATCTACTGGCCTTACTGGACCACACTAATTGGATAGATAATTCATTACCTTCGTCAAATCAAACGGATTCCATCTATGTTTCTCAGCTTCTTCATATGTCATCACTTGTATGTACATGGTATAAGTGGGCTGAAAATAATAATTTGATATTTAAACTGGAAAGCTAAGAATATATGAGTACATACAATAGGGTGCTAGGGAGTTTTTTACAAGCTATGTAGTTATTACAATGGGGATACTAGAGAGTTAGTTTAACTGACAAGCTAGAGAGTTATTACAACAGTAGTGCTTGGGAGTTTTTTACAAGCTATGCAGTTATTACAATTGAGGTACTAGGAAGTTAATTTAACTGATAAGTTAGGGAGTATTAGAACTGACAAGCTAGGAAGTTAGGGAGTTATTACAACAGGAGCGCTAGGGAGTTATTACAAGCTATGGAGTTATTACAAATGGGGTACTAGGGAGTCAATTTAACTGATAAGCTAGGTGTGCTAGGGAGTTAAACTCAAACAAGATAACATATTCTACTCACATAATTTCCTTCTGCAATAGCATTATACAAATCACGGATTGCAAAATCTGGATCACACTTGGCCATCTCCGCAGCTTCATCACCAGTCAGATTCTTGATACCTTGATCAGTCTGGGGAAAAAAAACATAGTAGATAACTTTGGTGAGACCCTAATAATTATGAATATAACTTTTTGCAGTTTTTTGCTACAAAGTTTCTTTCGCAGAGTCATGATGTTGGCAACATGTTTTTATGACATTTAGGTAAATAGTAAATTTGTTTTAATCAAGGTCAGCAAGAGTTTATGTATGAAAACATTAGAAAATAATGTTTACCCTCATGGTCATATACTTATCTAAAATTAGAAATTTTTTATTCCATTATGTCAGATAACTGTGACCAAATAATTACAAAACTAGCAATGTTTGAACATAAAGCACAAATTCTGAGACAAGAATGCATTAAAACATGAGGTGACCTTTGACCTCAGGAAAGAATAGTTATGTATTTATTTTTTCATGTATTTTGTAAAATTGGCCGGTGGTCTTTAAAAACAAATAAAGATTCAGCAAGAGTTTCAAAATTTGTTTTTTGTTTTTCGCACAACATGAACAGTTACAATTCTTTTTTTTTACCTTATAATGGAATTTACAGTAAACTGGGTTTCCGTCCTTGTTGACCAGTTTGAATGTATGACTGCCATAACCATTCATATGTCTGTAACCATTTGGTGTACCACGGTTGGAAAAGAGGAATGAGACTTGATGAGTTGATTCTGGTCGTAGTGTAATAAAATCCCAGAACATGTCAGGATCCTGAAACAAATCAAAACAAGACAAAACAAAACATAAAATCATACCAGTGATTTTCTTCGTAATCAGAATTTCTCGTTTCCAAATGTATGTAACCCCAAGTTCTATGAACATAACTGTGATTTCACATTCTATGTACAATAATGTACCCACCAAATTCCATGATTAAAATTCATTGTCTACAACATTTCAGTACCCCCTAGTTCTAAGACTATAATTCCATTCCTCCACATATGTACTTTCTAGTTAAATAATAATGAACAATCAGGTTTTATGATAATTTCTAATTTTATGACTATACTTCTTTGTCTCAACATCATATTACAGTTCCACTGTGTACAGAATGCCAGTTCCTTGATTACAATTTGTTTCCATACTCAGTATACCCCCTAGTTTTATGATCATAATTCCTCATTTTCCAACATTCAATGAGCCCCCTCGTTTAATGATTATAATTCTTTGCCCAACTCCCCCAAACCCTAAAATTCTATCTTGACTGACCTTCAGATGTGTTACTGGATTTCTTTTCTGTGTGTGGATAAAATTTGGAAACAACATTGGATCTCTGATGAAAAAGATGGGTGTATTATTACCGACTAAGTCCCAGTTACCTTCATCGGTGTAAAACTTCACAGCAAATCCACGAGGATCACGAGCAGAATCCGGAGAGCCAGACTCACCACCTAGGAATAATACAGTAAAGTGACTGATGTATTTCTGAATTTGAAATGAGATTTTATTCACTGATTTTTATGCTATTATAAAAGTCCTGAATGGGAATTCAGAAAATCATATTATGTTTGTGGACATCATATCTGTGCTGAGGACACCACACAGATGAGGGTGGGACACATGCCTATGTAGTGTATATCTCCCTGAAATTGGGGGACACATGCCTAGGCAGGGTGCATGACTGATGGGGACACATAAGTGCCTAGGCAGCATTTATTAATGTTCTGAGGCTGGGGACAAATGTCAAGAGAGCAGCTGTTGTTCTTAAATGGAACATATGCCTTGGCAGTATATATCACCCTGACAAAGGAGACATGCTCAGACAGGGAAAACTTGCCTAGGCAAGTTACATCTCTCTGAGAGTAGAGACACATGTCTAGGCAGCGCATATTGCTTTGCACATGCCTAGACAGAATACATCTCTCCTAAGGCAGGGACACATGCCTTGGCATTACATATTGCTCTGAATACCCAGAACCGAGGGGCTGAAAAAATTCTAACAATTTTGGTTTCAATTAAAACAAACATCACAAAATTCAATGTAAAATGTTACCCAACTTTGATGCCATATAACTCACCTACAGTTGAAAATCTAACACCGAGAGGAGTTTTCTTTCCGACATGTTCAAATATCTTAGCTTTACAGTACCTTGATATATCATGAGTGACTTCAAAATACCCAAAGGCTCCTGTAAACAAACATCGTACAGTGAGACATAAGCATCTTGACAACAATGTTATTAATCGAAAACTTAAAATACCTCAACGAAATCATTACCTGCACCCTTAGCATGTACCACTCTCTCAGGAATACGTTCTCTACCAAAATGAGCCATTTCATCCGTGTAAGCAAAATCTTGCATCAACAGAGGACCCCTGGGTCCCACTGTAAGGATAGCATTCTTATTATCAATGGGTGCCCCGGTAGCTGTCGTCAAGGTCTCGGGTTTCTGAAGTGAAAAAAAAAATTGAAAAGTAACAATGACATCATCACCAGGGATTTTTTTAAACAAGGGAACAGAAGCGCAGCGCCCTCATGCAATGGCCATGCGCCCTCTTACCCTGGGAAGCAGATGTGAGAAGCAGAAACACATGTGGCCACAGTCTTCAACTGTGACCTGTCTGATAGTAATTTTGGCCCCAAGGAAGCCATAGAATGCTCCATTTTAACTCGGAACTATCAAAAACTCACACCCTGGTAGGGAGAACCCTATCTCCCCCACTTGGTGGCGCTGCTGAATTGTAATGCTCAATCTTGCATTTTTTTTCTAGACAAACCCCTGATCACATAATGTGATTAATTATTCGTGAATTTGTTCAACATGGACAAACAAATATGAATATTGGTCAACTTATTTAAAAGTACTGTTATAGAACTTTTATTATTTTGCAATGATTCTGATTCAGTTAATAAACAGCCTTGGGATTGACAACAGATCACATAAAAACCAAGTAATGGATTGATGTATGACAAACTGTTTTTGTTTTCACATGTTGAACATTGTTGTGTGGTTATTTCAGTTATTTGTTTATTATTTATTTTATAATAAGAACGTGGACGATTAGAAACTCTTGAAGGGGGGTTACAGAAAAAATGTGCAAAACATTTTTTTTTTTTTCTTCACTAAGCTTTGTGGTAATTTTTTTTTCCCTTGAAATAATTTTTCCCCCCAACTGTGAGAATATCTTTTTTCAAGACCAGCTGCCAACGGAAAATTATATCCATCGTAAATTAATAAAAAAGGAACTAATGAAAAATAGATAAAAATGTTACACCAAGAATTATGTGGGAAGGTAAAAGTTTCCTTCAAAGAAATAGCAAGTAGAAATTCATTTTCAAACATTTTTACCCACAATTCACCATACAGAAATTTTGTAATCAGGTACAATACCAGCTTGAAGGGTGAAGATTGCGACACCATTTGCAAACTTTGATTTCACGAAATTTTATATTTTTTAACCTAAAAATGTATAAAACACCTTCCTAGTAGTTCAACAAAACCAATCTAACACCTAAATTACCTCTTCTAACATCAGTACATGGTATAACCAATTTCAACCTGAGTGTTAAAAGTGCTATGTTCCACTCTTCAGCCTGTGAAATTTGCAGTATATTTTTAACTTTGAATATTAATTACCACAAATTTGCTGAATAAACACGTTCATTGGAAAAAGCCAAATACAGGTCAATAAACTCTTGAAAAAGAAATCTTTGGACTGGACTCTGAACATACTAATTATATCAACACATTAGACAGTCCAATCTCTGTATCTTGAGTCAACATATATAATCTCAACATACTCCAGTTTACCGTATTTGCTCTATTAGTAGTACATGTATTTATGCATTACAGAGGTGTGTCTATGCTTAAAATAAGTTGTATTTTAATAATCCAGTATACCAGTATTTGAAATTATGACCGGCTCATATGCCCAGGCTGTTATCAATTAAAACTTGCATGCCCAGCGGTCTGGTACTGTAAAATACTTTATTTTAGCTGGAATTAAATTTCACTGATTTTAAATGAGTTTAATGTAAATATACAATGTAGGTGCTAAATACCGCACTATATTTCCATGGTAACATGAAACAGGATGTGTGTTACAGTACAATATTTTGAGAAATTTACATGCAATTTAAAATTTCTCAAAAACCAGTTTTTTAGAACAGTTTCATAAATATAATGCTAAAGAGAATATATATAACCCAAATTTATGAAATAATTCGGGATAACAAAAAAGTGCTATCAACACAAAACATTTATGTCACACGTTTACAATTTGAGATGGAGTATATTATTATCGCCATAGAAACCAAAGGTAATTATACTACAGACAAAATGGCTGCCATTAACTAAAAATACAACAAAAAATAAGCTTGTGACAATTATATTAACCCTCACTATGCCCCCCCCCCCCATGTACATTTACTTGACCAGATATAGGTTGAATGAGAATTATGGGTTTAATGCAAAAATATAAATTGTTTCTCAAAAAATTGCCTCCTCTTTTATGTAAGTGCTTATTTTGAGTGTTACTTGAGGACACAAAATTTTCATCTAAAAATAAAATACCAAATGATGTCCACGTTGAGGGCGTAAGTTCCACGTACGCATTTATCAAAACAACGAAAGGATCTGTATAATTTAGACAAACTGATGACACTGCAAATTTCTAGAAATGTGCCAGTGACTAACTAACTGACTGACTTGAGCGCGCACGTTCACAACTCAACCTTTAACCCCTCCAACAGTTCGTGCCCTCCACCTAACCCCCCTCATCATGGATTCTTCTCGATCTCGCGTTAATGGCGTACTCGTTGCACCGGAGCGTTTTCACATTATTGAGGTCTACTAAATTATGCGATCTATCTCATCTCAAGTTCAGTGAATGAAATGAAAGCAAATATTACGTATTTGGACCCCAAACCAAATGGCGCTGCACATGAACACAACCCAGTTTGCAGACAATTGCAACGGTCAACAAACTCACATCGGACCAAGGCCAACAAGGAGCTTAGACATCACTCCAATGGATGTACTAACATTCGTTTTGCATGCAACTTACCGTCTGAGTCTTCTTGAACTCCTTCAGTTGATCCGATGCTTTATCCCTGTTTGCCATGTTGTTTGATTATTGCTAGCGTTTGTAGAAAGCAGTGAAATTCACACCAATGTAAGGTCTAAAGTTCTCGATCCACTCGCTGTAGGACAGAAAGGACACAGCTGATTGTCACGTGGTTTGTGTTGATTTGTGATTGGTTGATTGTTTCAACTGATGGTGGCGTGCCTGACCCCTGCCTGGGATGCACCCGGCCTAACCTTTTTTTATTTTTTTAAATAGTAAAATCAACGATTTATAATAAATAAACTACACAATTTATAGACTCTGCGGCTAGCATACTTTTGAAACAATTTTTTCCTGGAATAATTCCCTGTGACTGAATACTGTGAATACATTTAAAACAAACTTACCCCGTAACCGAACACAGTTGTATGTACAAGGTATTTTGACTATTTTCAATTCACAACGGCCTCCAGAGTACAATTTTTACAATATTGGAAATCATAAATGTCACGATTGTCATTGAAGTGCGGGAACCCCTTCTTTTTTTGCTTGTTATCATTGTAAAATACAATCTTGAACTTTCGCTGACGAAAATATCGTTAATTCAGTGCTTTTAAATGATCCTCATTTTTATAGCTTGTGAGGCGTGTCTAAAGTATAGATTTCGCAAATTATCAGTCACATTGCTATTAAAGCGCGGTGGTCGTTGTGCAGCGCGTGTTCGAATTTCATGTAAATAAACAATGCATTTTACACGCGTTGTATACGTCGCTATGAGTCCCATATCGAACAGGACGCGGCACGACGACTGCCACCTTTCGTTTAAATTTCAAGTTAGTAGTCATGGCTATCCCCACACTGATTAAAATCTGATGTAATGTACGGCGTGAATTTAATTTAATTGTGTACACTTTATTTTATTTTTACTATATATTTGTTATTATTTAATAATTGTCTTTATTATAATTACGTACATCTTCTTTAGTATTACTCCAACTATCACCGCGTACTGCAGCTAATACGAGATTTCATGTGGGTTTCGCGGTTACCAATACTCTTAAAAAACTGCCAGCAAATAAATAATAAATTAAAATAAAACAAAATAAAATGTATAATAAAAATAAATAATTTAACACATATTTAAAAAACTTATAAAATAAAGCCCAAACTAGGATCTTATTTTAATCAGATTCGCATTATTTTATTTGATATGTCATCTTTTAGATATAGTAATGTCAGTTGTAACAAAGAGAACTCATCGATGTCTTGCCAGTATTAAAGGTGTTTACACGTATTTGTAATTTTCAAATCAGTTTGTGTAATTTCTTTTTCTTTATTCGATTTGTCGTGTAAATATGTGTTTCCCACTCTAAGGCCATGAGTGTGAAACGACGACTATCGGATTTAAGGCTGCTCCCGGCGAGCTGACGTTACGCGGCGTTTCTTCCAATCAGAACTGTTGTAGCATTCCATGACGTAAATGAATATTTCTAAATGAAATGGCAGCGACCACTCTGGATCAACGTACTAAAATACTAGCTAGACAGACACGTTTTTGTCCGGAAACTTAGATGGGGTCGACCAGGAATGAATATGATGAGGGTCGGCAAGGAGTAATTTCGTAAGGTGTAATCAATTGTTTTTATTTTCGTAAAAATGTAATTTTTAATAAATTCGTAGACATGGACAAGATGTAAAATGTAACCAGCTATTTTATTCGTCCGTAATTTTTAAAAACATCTTATTTTTTGTAAGCGTATAAAGTATTTTCCAAATTAAATATGGCAATTCGTACGCAATTTCCAATTTTGATTCTTAAACACAAATTATCATAAATATTATAAAAATGTAATTAGGAATTTGCTCTATCTGTATTTTTTTACTGTAAATGGAATTTTCATTTATTTACTGTAAAAACGTAAAATGCCGTTTTTATTTCCTGTAACCTGTACCAGGTACCCCCTTGCCCTCCCTCTAAGATGGAAGAAGGAGGGGATGGGGGATAGGTATAGTTAGCCCCAATTAGGAAGATTGGTGACAGAAAGAAACAGTATTATTTATTGATCTATTTACTTCATATTGTGTTGATGTTATGTTAAAGGGCGGTGGTCCTCGCGCTGCGCATGTGCGACATTTGTGTTGATAAACATTGATTTTCCCACAGTGCAATGCGCTCTTCTAGTGGAAGTATGAAGTTTGACCTGGGCGCGACTTGCACTAATTATCACTGGTGCTTCTTTCGATATCTTCTAATCACCTAATTAAAACTTGGTAACGTTGTATTTTTCATACCAAAGACAATGTACATTACATACATAATTCAGTGTTGAATACAATATCTGTCTATCAATCTATCTATCTGCCATAGTTGAAATCACAAGACTCTCCCGCGACTAAAATGCTACGGCTGATTATATTCCCAGGGCCTGAATATACCAGTCCGTTGAACCAACGATACAAATCATTACAGGGTCGCCAAAGTATTTAGCGCCCTCTAGCGATCAACCGGAATATTAGTGGGTCACCGAGAAAACGGAGAGAGAGACGGTTGGCTCGTGGGATGAAAATTGTTTTTGGTGGTTCCTCCAGATCCTTACAACTTCACGGACAGTCAAAATATAACAATATACACCCTATGCTTCTGTAAAACGTATATTATAACCTGTTAATGGATTTTTTTTCTTGCGTTGGTTTTAAAAAGAACAAATGCCTGTTTAAATACTTTCAACAACAGACTGCTCACTACAGACCTCTTACAAAATCTAATTCTGAAATTACTAAAGTTTGGCTTCATACTAATTGTACTTATCGAACTGAAACCTGGACCGTCGTCATGATTATGTTGAGACATCGTCAGTTGTAAATCAGAAATATTATATCCCAAAACCAACAACTCAGAGGCAATCAACAAGCATTCTGATTGGTCAATGGACTTCATATATATATAATGTAAAACATGTTATTTTAGCTATGAATCATTATAATGCTTATTCGCTATGTAACAAACGAGGTAGTAAATATAGTTTGTCATTGTTCGATAGTTTCAGCCATGCCACGTCTCAACAAAAACAAGTCATCGGGAACGTTCTGTTTATTCCGAATATGCGCCCTCTAGCGACATATTTTAGACATCGGTGATCATCACCTCATCACCGCAATCATCGAGGACCAGACTTGAATGAAGAAGTCTGAAAGCTTGAGTAAAATCGTAACGGGGTTGATTTAAATGGTGTATCATAAAAGTTTGAAATTTAGGTTTCACCAATTGGTTAAAAAGAGGTGATAAATTAAAGCAGGAGAGTCGTCACCTGCGCACGCGCGGGAATTGAGTCCCAATCGACGAAAAAAAAAAAAACACACGCTAAAAACGCAAAGGTTCGTGGGTAGACGAAAATTAATTCCAAGCGAAAATAAAGTATTTTACTAGTACAGTATTCAAAATGAACGCTCGCTAATTGGATGACGTAGAACTAACTCATTAATATTAATTAGAACTTGCTATGATGTCGCCATATCAGTTCTGAATTGGTTATCAGTCATTTTGGCTTATAAACAAAATTATATTTATAAAACGTTCAAAACATCCCTTGCTTTATGCCTTTCACTGTATTCGATTTCGTCACGGTTGATGTGAACATCAGTTTGAAACTAAAAAAAACAGTCACGCTTCACAGTCGTCACGCAGCTCGCGTTCGAATTCCATGGAAAAAACAACGATATGCTTTTACACGGGTTGTCTACATCGCATGGCCCAATGCGACCTGTATTGAACACAGCACACAGAGACGCTATGAAATTTCAGGCTTCGAGAGTTCCTTATGTATGATTTATTTATTTATTCTTTAATTTTACATTCAGTACACTATTATTCACAGACAATGATCTAACAATTTTTCAACGCTAAATTAAAAAAAAAAAATCTTCTTGGAATTTTGATAAACCAAACACATTGCAGTTCTCGTGGTGAGAGTGATTGATATTGCAAGGGTAACTAGGAAACGACAAGTTAAAATAATCGTTATCACGACTACACATCTTGAAGTGCTCACCTTAATCACAGACGATTTGTACTAAATCAGAAATGTTGCAATTTAAATCTGAAACTCGATTTGGGGACGAACCGGAAACAGTATTTCGTAGATAAAAAATGAAAATTAGTTTGAATATTTTTTCCTTTATAGAATCAATCAAATTGTCAATAAATAAATAAAAATGGATCAAGTAGACAGACAGACGGATATGTAGAAAGACTTACATGCATACATACAGACAGACGGACGGACGCAGGACAGACAGACAGTTTGTTTTTGCATTAATGAAATCTCAACACATTGGCTGGATGTATTTGTTTACAGACAGACGGACGGACGCAGGACAGACAGACGGAAGAGTGGATGGACGGACGGACAGTTAGACAGACAGACGGATATGTAGGAAGACTTACATGCAAACATACAGACAGACGGACGGACGCAGGACAGACAGACAGACAGTTTGTTTTTGCATTACTGAAATCTCAACACATTGGCTAGATGTATTTGTTTATCATTTTTTCTGTATGTTAGTAAAATTATATTTCATAATTTCGGAATAAAAGTGAATGTCGGTTCAAGTTGTCGCTGTTATAACATATATACAGCGTTCATTGAACTATACTTTAACAGTATACTAGAAAAAATATCATATGACTGATTGTGTTATATCCATATTTTACAGCGATAATATCTTGGAAGGAAAATTGCATTATTGTTTTATTTATACATATATTTCATTTTTATATCTAATAACGAACAGATAGATCGATCACTCTACGTCACAGACTGATTGGCTCTATGATAATGATACTCTGCTGTGAATTCCAGTCTACCGAGTGTCTCATTTCGCCATGCTCGCTGAGGCATTGACTAAAGAAATTTGAATACACAAGGCGACGCAATGTCAAAGTTGTTTCTGAGACAACTATAGTATTTGGATGTTGTTTTAGCGTGGAAGACTATTATTAACTTTTTATTAAACAATATAACTAATTTTTGTTAAAATTCCTTTATAATGTAATGGCAGAAATGTAGGCTACGAATACACATGTGCGGTGACATCACATGGAGCCCAGATCCTATAAAAAACTGTACGTTTAGTCTGTACGAGGGACGGG